CTCAACCTTGATTCGCATTCCAAATTTCAAGTTTTTCGCCCTACCCATTCACATGCTGCGAAGTTGTACACAAATTAGTACTTTTCGGATACTTATAGTTTGAATGTCAAAAAAAACCCCTTTGCTACATCTTTTCCACACTCCATCAGTGACCCTCAATCCAAATTTGAGAGTTCTAACTGCACTGGTACGCCAAATACAAATGGTACCACATTTAGTACTTTTTATTACTTGTCGTGCAGTTCTAATACGAATTTCCAAACACCCCGTCTTATATAACCCCTTTGGACCAAGAGTGACCCTCATCCCAAATTTCAAGATTCTAGCTCCAGCCGTTTGGTCTGGGCGATGATGAATCGTTAAGTAAGTCAGTGAATCAGTCAGCCAGCCAGATCACTTTACTCTTTTATTAGTATAGATATAAAAAATAGATTTGGTATGGTGACGTATAACTATTGTCAGCATGTATACGCCACTTATACCAATTTGCCAATTTCAATAATTAAATGCTTATATTTTTCTATCCAGTAAGAAAACTTGAAACAAATAACCGATTTTTTTTCGAATTTCAGATGACTTCGGCAAATTCTACATAAAGATTAAGTAGCCTCCATTAAAGTTTCACACTTCCCTTTGCTAGTCTAATATAATTTCGTTATACATTAATCATAGAAGTTTATGGAAATATTTATTTCCTCGTAAATTCTATTGTAAATCATCATAATAAAACAGCTGACCTTTACCCTCTACTCCCTGACACTTTTGTAACAAATTTTCAAATGGCCAAACAATTTACACTTTGGTACACGACAGTGCATGGCAGCAAATGCAAATCAGTTGCCTCAGTTAAGCGCATTACATATGTATACGAACACAATGTAGTAAAGTAACAAATACACACACATACATACCAATGTGTGTGAGAGTGAATTTTATTTTGTGAATGAATTGCAAAAGAATAGCCAACTCATGCAATGGAATTATAAAAAATGGAAAATTTGAATGATTTTAAACAAGTGAAAAAAGAGTTAAGTTCGGCCGGGTCGAACTTTGGATACCCTCCAACATAGATATACTGGCAGGTACTAGAAAATAAAATATAGGGAACATACCAAAAAGTGGACCTATACCGACATGTCTAAAAACGGATTATGTGAACCATAATACAAAAGTCAGAAATTTTTAATTGATAATTCAAATTCAAAGATGTGGAATATCGGTTCACTCCTTCTGAAACCTCCACACAGGGCTAGGTCCAAATGCGGCTATAGTTCATTATCGAACCTTACGTTCTAATTTTTTATCTCGCTATCCTCCGCAGGTGAAATGATTACAATAGAGTCTTAGAACCAAACTCAAAACGCGGAACAAATCAGATAACTATTTTAATATAAAAAGGGGGTTATATGGGGACTACCCCAAAAAGGGTGCGAATATTAATAGTTTTTGGTAGAGAGATTTGTTACCATATACGACTACAAAATACCAAATGGCAGCAACTTCGGTTGAAAAACGCGCTCAAGAACCCCAAAATACCCTTATATGGGGGCTATCCTAAAAAATGGACCTATATTCATAATTTTTTGTGGAGAGATTTGGTACCTATTAAGAACACAAAATACTAAATTACAGCTATTTCGGAGGAAAAATACGATCAAAACCCCCAAAATACTGAAAATTGGGAGGTACCGTTATATCAGAGCTACCAGAAAAAGTGGACCTATATTTATAATTTTTTGTGGAGACATTTAGGACCCAATAAGAACTCAGTGTAGCACATTTCAGCGAATTCGGCTGAAAAACGCGCTCAAGAACCCCAAAATACCGACAATTGGGGGGTACCCTTATATAGGGGCTACCCGAAAAATTTGACCTATATACATAACTTTTTGTAGAGAGATTTGGTACCTATTAAGAACTCAAAATAATAAATTACAGCCAATTTGGTGAAAAATACGACCAACACCCCCAAAATACTGAAAATTAGAAGGTACCGTTATATGGGGGTTACCAGAAAATATGGACCTATACATATAATTTTTTGTGGAGACATTTAGTATCCAATAAGAACCCAATGTACCAAATTTCAGCGAATTCGGCTGAAAAATGCGCCCAAGAACCCCAAAATACCGAAATTTGGCGGGTTATATGGGAGCTATGCCTAAACGGGGATCGATATATCCCATCTTCGAACTTGACCTGCCTGCAGACAAAAGACAACCCTATGCAAAATTTCAGCACCCTATCTCAATTCCTTCAGAAGATAGCGTGATTACAACAGACGGACGGACATGGCTAGATCGTCTTAGAATTTTACCCTGATCAAGAATATATATACTTTATAGGGTCGGAAATGAATATTTCGATGAGTTACAAACGGAATGACAAAATTAATATACCCTCCATACTATGGTGGAGGGTATAAAAAGGGTGTGTTAGGGTTACAGTGGGAACTTTCTTAAAAGTTTCGATATATTTTCAATGAATAGGTTTTTTCTTAAATAAAAAAAATAAATAAAGGACAATTTTACAATAAATTGCATGACATGAATTTTATTTGAATATTTTTACCGAGACCTAAAACACATATTTTTTTAATCTACTTTTGTAGTGCAATTATCTGTCAGTTGCCAAGAGGCTTCGTAATGGATAGACACTCTCCTTATAGGCCTTATACAAAAATACATTTCAACTACTGGTTGTTCTGCAGAAATCGAGCCAGAAGTTAAAAAAAAACCATTAAATTAATTCTTAGACATTGTGGCGTATAACTGTTGACGCGATGTATACGCCACCAATACTAACTGTAGGCCTCTAGAAAAATATTTTCATTAAAAAACATGCCTTTTAGGTATGTGGAAAAATATTGTTAATAAAATCCACGCCTTTTTGGTCTCGAGAAAAATGTTTTAAATGAAAAACACGACTTTTAAGTCTCTAGATTTTTTGGGCCTTTGGGAAATTATTTAAAAACTCAAACACCTTGTTGGACTCATGGGAAAATATCCACGCCTTATAGATCTCAAAAAAAAATCCACGCCTTATTGATCTCTAGAAAAATATTTTCAATAAAATCAACGCCTTTTGGTCCCTAGAAATTTTTTTTAATAAAATCCACGCCTTGAAGGCCTCTAGATTATTTTTTTGGGCCTTTGGGAAATTTTTTAAATACCCCAAATTCAAAAATTAGGGTCAGTGAAAACATATTAAAAAAAATTCGAGACCTTCGAGGTCCACGAAAAAAATATTTTCGATAAAATCCAAACGACGGACGACTGTGGAAAAGTATTTTCAATGAAACCCAAGCTTTTGGCGTCCTGGAATTTTTTTTTAATAAAATCAAAGTCTTATAGGTCTATGGAGATTCTATTATGCATTGCTGCTTTATTTTAAAACATATTTAAAATCTTTCTTGCTGTATGGGGAACAATGTTAATAAAATACACATTTTGTTGGTTCTGAGGAAAATTATTCCTAATAATCTATCACATTAGGCATCTGTAGATAAGTATTTTAACAAACATATTTATTTTATTTTTTCCATTTTACAGCTAACCTAATATACCAAACGCTGCTTAAGCACTGTTTTTAACAGAAAACTGTTCACGTTTCTAACAGGGTATCCATGACTACCAGTAATGTTAATAACATAATGTTATCAACATTTCCGATTAACATAATATTTTTTAATGTTAAAATATTTAACTGGGCTGTTAAAATTCTAACACAATTGGTCTGTTCCCGTACTGAAAGAATCTACTCGATTTTATCGTAGTAAAAAAAGTAGATTCTTGCAAACGTTTGCTAATTGTTATTGTCTCTTCCGAACTTATAAAAAATTCTGTCTAGTACAAAAAAAAAAATATGTCAATGGTTTCAAAGTCTCTGCATTTACATCCATGATAAGACTGAAGTTTTAGCACGTCATATTCAGCATGCTTGGTTGGATTCATTAACCCAAAGTTGTCTTATGTGCATATTTGTGTGTGTGTGTGAGTGTTTTCCACCTGCTTGCCTAAAAATTAATGAACATGTGCGAAACAAATCATATGTTTCGTTACACTTTGTTAAGCGTACAAGCAAGCAATCACATGGAGATACAGACTTCAAAATTAATTAAAGATATGTTCAAAGATAGTCTCAAAAAGAATAAACAGATCATACAATACAATTAAAAAAAATTAAATGCGAAATTTAAAAAAAATCGAAGGCAGACTCTTTATACCCTTCACCACACTGTGGTACAAGATATTATGTCTTTGTGCATATGTTTGTAACAGGCAAAAGGAAACGAGATAGACAAATGGTTCCTTTTGAGAATATGCATAGAACTTTCTGAGTCGATTTATGCATGTCCGTCCGTCCGTCCGTCAGTCTGTAGATGTTAAATTGTAAACAAAGTACAAGTCCCATTTATCAACCGATTTTGATGAAATTTGACACATCTCATTTATTAGGCCCAAGGACGAACCCTATTGAAATTGGGAAAAATCCGCTCAGATTTAGATATAGCTCCCATATGTAATTTCGTCCGATTTAGGACAAATGGTGAAGCAAATTCCCTATATATTTTTCGATTTGCACGAAATTTGACACAGCGTATTGAATTAAGTCTGAAATGATGTGTGTTAAGTTTCGTGAAAATCGGTTCAAATTTAAATATAGCTCCCATATATATTTTCGTCCGATTTAAGGTAAATGGTGTACCAAAGTCCCCAAATATCTTTCGATTTGCACGAAATTTGGCATAGCGTACTGAATTGAGCCTATAATGATGTGTGATAAGTTTCGTGAAAATCGGTTCAGATTTAGATATAGCTTCCATATATATTTTCGTCCGATTTAATGTAAATGGTGTACCAAAGTCCCTGTATATCGTTCGATTTGCTCGAAAATTGTCGTAGCGTAATGAACTGAATCTGGAATGATGTGTGTAAGTTTCGTGAAAATCGGTTCAAAGTTAGATATAGCTCTCATATATATTTTCGTCCGATTCAATGTTAATGATTCTTCGAGGGAACCCTGACATGCAATTTTTGGGATATATATCGCTCGTTTGCTGCAAGAGGGGCATAACTGAAAAAAAACGCGATTTTCGGATTAATGATGCACGATTGTTCGCCATAATAGACCTCATGTTGTGTAAGAAATTCATATGAATATCTCTAACACAATCTAAGTGTGTACCTCCTAGGTCTGATGAATTATTGAATTATAGAAAGAATAACACCTGCAGCTCTTCCATAGGAAGAGTTCTCCTTTAGAAAGAAGAATACCTTCAACTCTTCCATAGGAAAAAAATAATTGCAGCTCTTTTATAGGATGAAGATTACCTGCAGCTCTTCCATAGGAAGGATACTACCTGCAGCTCTACTATAGGAAAAGAATACCTGCAGCTCTTCCACAGCAAGAAAAATACCTCCAGCTTTTCTATAGGAACAGGAATACATGTATGGTCAATGTATGGTGATGGTGCCCAACTATGAGAAAGGGATTCCCAATATTAGTCTTCAGTAGATATTCGAAAGCGTGATGGTACCTAATGTCGTGATGGTACGTGATGTCTCAAGTCGACAATAGATCCTATTTTCTATTGGAGATTCCTCAACATACAAATAAGTTGGCGCCCAAACTAGAAGTCTCTTGGGCCTTACACATATAAAAGTGTTTCTTACTTAATAGCAGATTCAGATTCAATGGCTTGCGTGAACGCAATCTCCAGTCTATTCTTGAATAAATAATAGATCAAACTCGGCAGTTCGTGAAATAGGGTGCCACCATGCATTACTTTCCTTGAGCCCAATCTACTGCAGGTTAGGAGTTTCTTTCTCGACTTAGATATGCGAAATCGAGCACTTGCTCAGTTCAGTTTAGCCGCCAGAATACATAGAAGCTGGACTCACATTCTATGTACTCTGGCGCAAAATCTGAGCTGAGAAAGTTGGGCGCCAAAAGATTATGATACCCAGAAAGTTATCAGGTCGGGCATCACCTTACTTCCAGCCCCAGAGACTCATTTACAAATACATGGGACGCATGAAAAACATGAAATTCTCCATGCCACCTTACTAAGCAACCTGATATACTATCATGTCGGGTATAGAGGCGGATTTACTCTCAGATTGAATGCAACAATATTCTCCCTTGAACCTAAAATACCCGATAAGTTTTCACATTCATCCTGCGATATCGAAAAAGATTTTCCGCTCAGGATTGCCTCGAATATACAGCGAAATTGAGCAAGTAGGAGGTTAAGGGTTTCCATACCTCCTTACTAAACAATTTCAGAACATGTTACCCTATTACGTTGAGCGTCTTCATGTCTATCAACGGATCTAGGAACGGATCGGGCCCTAGAGCTGAAGGGTAAATGAGGCGCCACACTAAAATATGTTTCAAAAACTTTTGTGCTCATCCGCGTAGTAGACTAGGATCATGTGCATTACAATATAGTGGAGAAAGACGATACTGCCCATAAACCAAATTAACTACCTGAAAGGCCAATTCTGGACAGTTCTTAAAGATTGTGTTTGTTGGGCGCCACATGTACACTTCAACTCTAGGGCCCGATTTATAATCAATATGGAATCAATAGTTCTTGAAACATGTGTTCTTTGGGCGGAACATTTACAGCTCTAGAGTCCGATTAATGAGCAAGATCAGAGTCACAATACCCTCAAATTCTTTAGCATGAATAACTCAATGCTAATAGAGTATTATTTTGCTTTACACACTCCCTAGTATCCGCGAGAAATGTTACATCACTTCTAACCCCGCCTCAATATCCCACCTTATCAACTAAAACTCACCCTTTACCACTGCCACCATGCGAACCACCCTGACCATCAGGAGATCTACGTTTGGCTTCCGCTGCATAGTCATCGTCAGCACTATCGGCACCACTGGTGGGCTTTCCCGAATCCACAGCAGCAGACATCACATTGGCATCCGGTTCTCCAGAAATCACATCGTAATTCTGCAAATTTGCACTTTCACATTCAACTTCTGGCATTACTGAAATAGCACTACGTTCACTAACCCTTTCTGATGTTCCAGGACCGGTGGCAGCTGGTCCTGCTGCCGCTGTTGAGGCTTTTGAAATATCTGCATGATGTGAAGATGAATCCACACTACCGCCTGACATTTGCGTTGGTGTCATCTGTGAAGCATCACCGGCATTTAGCACGGAGACAGAGGCTTCTATAGGTTGCGTGGGGGGCATAGGGGATTTTTGCCCTGCCTGTGCGTTGGGATCTTCTGCTGTACCTAAACGTGATACGGATTCACCGGTTGATTTGTCGCCAGCTGGTTTCTTTTCTACCACCGTTGTAATACTGGGTGTGGGTGAGGCTCCACTATCTGAGGTAAGGCCCATGTCTTGTTCAAAACTCCTTAGATCGGTGAGATTTTCGCTAATGGTCTTCTGTATCTCTTCCGTGGCCTCGGTAACAGTTTTTTGAATATTTTCCAAAGTTTTTTGTGACTTTTCTAAAATTGACGCTGCGGGTAATGGTGATCCAGATTCATCGAGTAGTTGTTTGGTTGGAGATGGAGCTGCAAGAGAGTAGTTTATTAATTTGAGAAGAATTTCCGTATTGCGCTTGTGGACTTACCTCGTTTCTCATTCGCCTTGCCAGGGGTTTGAGGGACAATAAGGTCCAAAGTTTTCTTGCTAAGATTACTATCGGATCGTTTCTTACCGAGCAGACTTATTTTCGAACTTACACGCATCAAAGACATCGATGAGGGTTGTCTCTTCAATGCGGAGAGAGTGGCCACATCGGCAGCTGCCACTGCTGCAGTGGCCGTGGCTGTTGCCGCTGTGGGTTCTCCATTCTTTTGTACCACAAAGGTTGAGGCCATATCACTTTTGGAAGGTTTCGCCATGGCCTGGGAGGAAGACATTTCAGATTTACTGGAAGACGCAGCCGCAGCTTGAGCTCCAGTTTGTTTTTTGTTAGTTGCGTCCGTTTTCTTGGTCCCTGTGGTGGTGCCAGGTTTCCCTTCTCCGGGTTTCTTTTTCAAGTTCATGGAGGAGGGTTCTCTTTTCTTGAGAGTGGCAGGTCCTGCAGGTTTCTTAGAGAGATTGGAGGGTTCTCTTTTGGGTATGGCTGGTTTCCGGGTTTCCGATTTCCTTGCTGCCGTTGGTGTTTCTTTTTTACTTGCCCCAACCGGTTTTCTCACAGAGGAAGGAGTTCTCCGTGCTCCAGCCTCGGCTTTGCGTACCGAAGTTGGTGTCTTTTTGGCACTTGTCTGAGGCTTTCCTGCTGCTGACTTTCCTTTTATCGAGGAGGTACGCCTGATATCTGTACTCGGTATTGGGGGTTTTCGCTTCTGTGAAGATCTTCGTTCGTCTTTATGACTCACGGGGATGCGGGACCGTGAAAATCTCTCCGGACTCGTTCTAGATTTACTGCGGCTACGTGAACGACTTTTTGATTTAGCACGCTGAGGACTTATGGAACTTCTCCGCGATGCGGATCTCCTTGGTGTGCTCCTCTTTGGACTAACAGATATGGATTTCCGCCTACCTCCTGCTGGAGATTTACTCGAGGATTTCCGTTGACCCTGAGGAGATATACTACCACCACCCCGCTGCACAGAATGCATACTCAGTCGGGAATTCGATCGAGAGTTGGCAATTTCCTTGGCCAAATCCATTCGTGATTGAGGCCGAGAGCCAGGTAGGGAAATGGGTCGCGTTGATGCTCTCGAAGTTGAACGTGAGGGTGCTCGGGATTGGGAACGTGAATGACTGCGTGATTCGGCTCTTGAGGCAGCTCGTGAACCTGCTCTTGAGGTGGAGCGAGAACCAACACGTGATCCTGTGCGTGATGCTATTCTTGATTGTGACCTCTCATCTAATCGAGATCCAGCTCTTGATTCCCTTCTTGCTTGGCCCATTTCTTCTGCACGAGAATGTGATCTGGAATCTACTCTTGTGTCGCTTCCTTCCTCTGGTTGGGCTCCAGCATACAAGGAAACTCGGGAACCCGAACGGCTGGCAGGTTGGGCGCCACCATATTGTGATGCTCTTGAACCAGATCTACTGCCCGGTTGGGCACCACCATACTCTGCCGCTCTGGAGCCTGATCTGCTACCCGGTTGGGCGCCACCATACTCTGCCGCCCTGGAACCCGATCTACTACCGGGATGGGCGCCTGTATAATCTGCCGCCCTGGAACCTGATCTACTACCAGGTTGGGCGCCAGTATAATCTGCCGCCCTAGAACCCGATCTACTTCCCGGTTGGGGGCCACTATAATCTGCCACTCTGGATCCTGATCTACTACCAGGTTGGGCTCCAATATACTCTGCCGCTCTGGAACCTGATCTACTTCCCGCTTGGGCGCCACCATACTCCGCCGCTCTGGAACCTGACCGACTTCCCGGTTGGGCGCCACCATAATCTATCATCCCTCCCGGCATGTCCATACTATCATCCCCTATCTCCTTCATTGGTGAACCTGATCTCGATGCCGCCCGCGATTCCTGCATTTCCAAACGTGAACTTGCCCTTGAATTTGTTTGACTTCTGACGGGAATTTTCGACAAGGAGTCCCGACGTGAATTACTATCCGATAAACTATCTGAAGGTGGTCCCACCATTCCCATTCTCATTGCATGGGTGGGACTTTGCGCGGAACTGCTATCCTTATTGGGAGTGCCAATAATCGGAGACAGGGGTGTGGGTTTGGCAATTTTGGTCCTCAACGGCCTCCCCGTGGTTGTGAGATTGGCCACACTAGAACTTGAAGAAGATTTCCTCCGCATACTCTGGGGGCTGGGTGGCTGAAATATGGACTTTCTTCTTCGTGGAGTTTGGGGTGTGGAGGAGGCTTGAGGTTTTCCCCCAGCACCGGAGATGGATGGTCGTCTAAAACTAAAATCCGAAGTTGTCACAGAACTGAGATTGGAACTTCGCCGATCTGAGGTGGTTTGTGTGGAGCTACGCCTTGAGGGTGAGGTTGAACTTGATCTCCTTCTCGTTTTCTCACCATGCAGGGGAGATAATAAAGGTTTCCCCGCAGCTTCTGTGGTCAGATCTTCCATACTAGCCCAATTTGATTTGGAGGGAATGCGCGCCAGAATCTCTTCATGATTGAGTACTTTGAGGAGGCCTTTCTGCTTGCGCGTGGGGTTGGGATTGGGTTTAATGGGTCGCGGTAGAGCTCCAGGAGGAAACACCGCCTTTTCAGGTCTTAAATCTAAGGCAGAACGATTCAGTCTTGGTATAGAGGTTCGATAGGGATCGGTGATCATGGGTAATGCTTCCATACTTTTCATGTGGGGTTTTGATTTGGAAGTGGGTTCCATCGATTCGCCCAGCAAGGTTGAGGGGCGGCGCTTGGATGTGGTGGTTGCGGATTCTCGTTGATGTAAAATACCCTTTTGGGTTGGCAGTTTACTGGGGCTGTACCGCCCACTCATATCGAATTGTACCGACGGCCTTGGTGAGTCTTCGACCGTCATTTCGGCCAAGGGTGGCATTAGCTGAGGCAGTTTAAGCTGGGTGGATGATAACGACTTACGCTGCATGGGTGACTTTTGAGGGGTGTTGGGTGCCTTCGATCTCCCTGGTATCAGAGAGGGAGAACTTAGCTCTCGAGTCCTTTGATAGCGGGGACTTTGGGAAGACATGGGTAGGGGCTTCTCATTCAATATCGTAAAGGAGGTCTTTTTGTGTAGGCGGGATTGTTCAACCCTGTTCAAGAAAAGGAAGGAGATGTTATTTAGGTTGGGAATAAGGTTGTCTGGACATACCTATAATCTCCTCCCGTTGTTATGGAGTCTTTCAATATCACAGGTGATCGCTGACGCTGTAGCGGTGTTTCAGGCTCAGTGGGATCCTCTGCCAAGAGATGAGGTTGTGGTGGTATGGGTGGTGGTGGTAAAGGAGGCAGAGGAGAATCGCCTTCCTCATCTGCTGCTTCGTCTAGTAACGAGACGGGTTCTTCTTCATCCTCTAGGCTTCCGCCTGTGATCTGGGGACCGAATACACTTTTCCGTCGTTGCTTGATATATTCCCGTGGTGTGAGAATCAAGGAAGGTGATTCCTCTAAGGATCTCAGACAGGAGGGTGAAGGACTGGGAGGCCTTAGAGGTGGCCTCAAACCATCCAAAGAAACGCTAGGTTCATCTAGAACTTGGGTACTCGACATTAGTCTTTCCTCTGCCCCGCTGCTACTGGAATCATTGATCATGGCCGCCACCGGAGAGCGGAGAGGCATTTCATCCCGCTTAATGGACATAACATTTTTCGAACTAGGCCTTAGGGTGGGCATTTTATTGAATTCGGGATATTCTAGACTGGCCTGACGAAACCATTCTCCGCTCGAATACGATTCATTGGAGAATTGTCGCGGCATTAGGGCATCCGGTGAGGGGCTGTAGGGGTAGAGAATTTTTGATACTAAGAATTATTCTTGAGGAGTTAGGGATGTTTAAACCTACCTCAAAATACCTTGAAGTTGCCCCTTGGCTTCCTGATCCTCCTTCTCCCTGATAGCCGGTGTCGATGATTTCCTGATACTGCTCGCCTCTGAATATTCTCGCAGCGTACGATTATCACTTATGGTATAGGTTTCTTTCAGCTCCACAATATCCTCTGACCCCGTGGGCTCATAACCCGACGAAGCCCTCAACATTTCACTGGGCGTGAGAAGCATATAATTCGGTGAATTCTGATGACCCGAAGAAGAATCTCCACTGGAATTTGGCAGTATTTGTATGTCAGGTGGTTTCAGCCTTGGTATGGCTGAAGGTAGTATTTCAAAATTTCTCGGTGAGGGTGTGGAGATGTTTGAAAATCGTCTACCCCTTAGGCTGGTATAAGGTACCTGGGGAAATAGACGTTGCGTCTGAGGAACTTGACTCAGTAGCTGGTCCTCATCGGAGGTTAGCTCCACCGAAGTGGATCTTAAAAAGGCCGGTGAAACAAAGCCACTACCCAAAAAATCATCTGGCGGTGGGGGAGGTATTGGATCACCAAACAGAGAATTAAAAGCCGGCTCAATTTCCGTATCCACATCCACTTCGGGATTGCTACTTTGCCGAGTGGAAGAACGTGAGGGCAAATGCGTTGGATAACGTCCGGTTTGTGGCCTCAACGCTGAGGGTGCCATAACTTGATAATTATAATCTAAGGGTATTATGGAGGGTGTCTCACGTTGCGAACCGGAGGAACTTCGCTGTGAAGGTGGTCTGGAGTTATTGTTGTTGGTGTGGAACAAAGATTGTTGTTGCTGTGGCGAAGAGAAGGATGGGGATGAAGATGATGGGTTCATATTAACCTATTTGGTCAGGAAGTCGTTGGTTCGGAAGTTGTTTGCATGGAGCTATAACTAATGGAGATTTTTGTTTCTTGGAGAATCTACAAGAGAAGAACCAGGAAATTATTAGAAAATTTTTTTGAAATTAGGAATCCAACCCACCTTGGCTACATAATCCTTTCGTTCGATATACAAAAATTTTGGATCCGCAATTTCCTTGAACAGTGTCAAATATTTTACTCAACAGCTCAAGGAAATATTTGTGTTGGTGTTGTTATTCGTTCTGCAGCTAGCCACACATTTAAACACATGGGCAATGTTTACCATTATCGATTTCCAAGGACTTCTTGCTTGCCTGCTAAGGTAAATGTTTACTCTCCGAACATCGCTCTCACTCTCTAGTCCTCTTAAAGTTATTTGTCTACCTCTAAGGAAAACCACCGTCTAGCTGCCTCACTAGCTGTGTTGAGGTTATCGAAGTTCAATGCATACTAATCATTGCCGCTGAAGGCTCAACAAGCCAAAGTCCTTCGCAGTGGTCAGAACAACAACAACAATTTTCCGTTTTTCTTTTGTATCGTCTCATTCGTTGTGTCCCAATTTTACTTTGCTTTGTTTTTTATTTATTTTTCCTTAGGTCATTGCATGTCCAGTCTTCATGGATATTTTGTTGAGGGTTTTTCTTGCTCCTACTTCTCTTTCCTTAGGCCTATGGAAGTTATGTTAAGAAGAAATTTGTGGAATGCATTTGATGGAGAGTTGTTATTGTTTTTGTTGTTGTTGCTTTTTTGTCGGAATTCCTTAGAGTTGATTATGCACTACTTCTTCTTCTATGTTTCGGTGTCGTTAATGCATTTCCAAGTAAATTTCACTTTACAGTTCATTGGCTTTGTTTTGGGTTAACTGCAACAGGGGTCTTCAGGTGTTCGGGTTCATAAGGAGGATCTGAAATGGAAAAAAAAATTTTGTTAATTCCTCAAACTTGATATTCTTAAAAATTAGAAGAATGTTCTCATTAACATATAAAATTCATTATAAATTAATGTGTGGTGCATGCTTTTAGGCGAAGTAAAAAAACTTATGTCCTAATACCAATCTAATATTTTACAAGTCATAATGGAACCATATATAGAAGGGCGCACTACCCTGTATCTACTGTTCATCGGCATTTAAAAGGCTTTCGATACCATCAAACCAACTGTCATATGGAAAGGATACCCTCCATTACCCTTACTGCCCAAATTTGTACTGGATAAAATAATGAATGAAGTCTGCACTCAGAAAGGAGGCAGATCATAGATTCTCTTTTTTTAGAGATGATATCGGTTTGATTCCTCTGAAAATATTCAATATGCATTCGAAATTAGAAGACCTGAAGGGGCCGGATGGAAATATTGGACTGGAGTTTTACCAAGTAATTCAATACTTCGATAGCTTCTAATATCGAAGAAGCACTGCAAGGAAACAATTGCAGTTTTCGAACGACTGAAATTATATAGAGTAGCCCGCATATATTCAGGAAACCCCAGCATAAAATATTCGAAGTCTGTATAAGATTGATTCTGAAAAGCCTGGATTGTGTACATCACGCAAAAGCTAAAATAATTGCCTCTGATTCACATACAGGATATACTGGCACTACACTATAAATTACACTGAACTCTAGAACATAACGAAAAGAGTGTCAATCGGTGTTGCCGACAGATATATACCTTCAGCGAACGGCTTGCGGAAGTCTTCGAAATTACACACAGATTTTATTGTTCGATTTTTCTAAGGTATATTAAAGAGGTTTCGGATTTAATGTTGACCAAATCGGTTACTCAATTCGCTTCACTCCCCTTTGTGGGAGTGGAGTGGACTTGATATAGTTTTGGTAAAGACAATAGGTTGTGCAAAGTTTGGTTCAAATCAGACATTTCATTCGCCAGATATTGGATTTACAAATACTGAAAATATTGACAATTTTTTGGTATCAAAAGCAGTGGACCAGAAGGAGTGGGCCAATGGGTCCCATCTTCAAACTTGATTTAGTTTTGTGCAAAGTTTAGTTCAAATGATATATTCATAGGCCCTTCCAAACATACGTCAATCGCCCAATATTGCAGAATGGAGAAAACATTAATTAAAACTCCGAATCTAAAACATAAATCCGCGGAAGTTCTACGCGAAAACATTCAATTAGGACACATGGGCCCGATTTCCGCTCTTGAAAATCCGAAGACGAGTTCCTTTCTCCCTCATCATGCAGTAATTCGACCTGAAAGTACGACTACCAAGGTTCGAGTTATATTCAACGCGTCAAAGAAGTCAGCAAGTGGTTTCTCCTTGAACGATATTTTACACACCGGTCCTGTCTTACAGCAAGACATTGTTAAGGTATTATCAATTTGGCGACTTTATCAGTTCATACAAAACATGTACCGCCAGATATGTCTACACGAAGATGATCAGCCTTTTCAGAGAATTGTATTTCGCCCGTCCCCCACAGATCCCATCCAAACATTTCAATTAAAGACCGTGACATTTGGAGTTAATGCGCCTCTGCTACAACTTAGTAAAGACAGTCAAGATAGTTATCCTAAAGCTTCTAACATTCTGGATAGTCCGTTCTGGTACCTCCCCCCATTTTGTGGGTAGGTACCAGAAGGAGTGGACAGATATGAGTATTTAAATGAACAACAGGGTAAATTAAAACCAGTGAGCGGAGCAGTATAGTCGGACGGGGCCGACCATATGATACCCTACACAACTTGCACGAAAATCTAACTTTCTGTTGTTTTATATTCTGAACTTGGGCAGTATTCCGCGATATTTGCACCCTCTTGACCGACTAGAGGTCAACAAATCGGTCCACTTCATCCCAATGTTATTATCTGACCATCACCGAAAATTATTTTAGCGTTGTCCTTGACCATACTTGGATCCTCATGAAAAATTTCAATGCGATCAGCGCTGCATTTCCGCCCTCTAGTGTGGTAATGGGTTACTAAATAATATCTGAATACGTAAGCACCTGTAAATATTTAAGTGCAACTCCCACATCCGAGTACATACGACAATATAATAGGTATCAATTTAAAGGTCAACAACTTCTCTTGGATTTACTATCAACTTCTCGGGTCTATGTCCTTCAGGGGTAAATAAATACGCTTTGGAATACAATTTTTGTCATTTTTCACACAAAAGTCAGGGTCCATTTGACCCGCTAAATATTCGGGATGCTTAAAATTTCGCGATGTTTGGGCCTTAAGTGCGGCATCTGGTTCGACCAGAAAATCACTCAAAATTAAACTTTTTGGTCCATTTCATCCCTTAAATATTAACTGATCTTTACCGAAAACATGCAAAATTTCGTGAAGATTGGTCCATAACTGTGGCCTGTATCGTGTTTACAAATTATAATGGACAGACGGACGGACGGACACACATGTCTAGATCGACTCAGCTAGTCGAGATATGATGATCGGTATACTTAAAGATGGGTCTAAGACCAATATTTCACGGCGTTACAGACTCTTGGGGATGCACTAAGCTATAATACCCTGACAACATAGTTGTGTAAGGTATAAAAATTCAAGCGCCATCAAAACAAGGCAAAGTGGCAATTATTGAAGTACCACTGCAGCGACAAGTTTGCTTATTCCAGCGGCAAACCAGCTGGTGCCAATGTCATTTACCCGTCCAAACGTGTTCACCACAGCAACGAAAATATCTGTCGAATTCATCAGACAGCGGTACAGCTTGTCCCTGGAAGGATAGCAATGGAGCCTCAACGATTACAATGAGGCATATCCCAGCAGACAATGAATGCCATGTTACTACATCAATGCTGCCGTTCAAAAAAAAATAGGAACGATATCCCAACAGCATTCCGCTAAGGGCATTGAAATCCCAACCTCTTGTCCACCGAAAATATACAGGCCAATTTACAACAAAGGAGAATTCATTATGTACGCTTTTAATGCCAAGCTGGTTTGTTCAAGAAGGAATCTAGAAAAATTAAGTTGACTACGCTCAAATTGAAAGAGGTAAAAGCTGAAACATTCGCAGAAGTTTTCCCAGAATCTGTTAGAATCAATCGTGAATATCCATAAAAAGATAGGCGTTGTAGTTGGACTATAGTAAATTCTCAAAGAGAATGGTTACCCGGCACCTAAGTTCATCACTTGCATTCTCCATGTTCTGGATAGCGTTATTAGAGTAGTAATGGATCATATCTTCCACGATTCGACTTAATCGCCAACATTGAATATTTCTTTGTGCAGGATTTAATAGGCAAATATATTACAGCAGCAATGTAAAAACTAAGGATAAGGGAAATTGATCTTGCCTTCCGCCACTTTACTGAGATAAATGAGATTCTTTTGTTGAGTTCAAACAGATCCCGAACATCTGCAATATGCGATAGAACTCTAATCTTATTCCAGCTCTGCTTACGCTTATTCTGATGCCTGAAGCCCGGAACATGTTGCATAAAATCTGTACGTTAATTTCTTACTCATATCGGTTCAATAGTCAGTTGTTGACATTTGAATAGAAATTGAAATTTCGTAGAACTCACTGTAAAGCAAGATAACTATCCAATCAACTTTGTGCGAAGCAACCAGTTCTGTGAGCGACTTATACAATCCTTGTCGTAACAACCTCTCACTGAGATTCACTATGTATAGTTTGCTGCATAATTTTTGGCGCCCAACCTTTTTAATGTAACATATTTATTTTTATTTTATTTTATTTAGTTTTTTTTTTTTTGTTTTCCCTTTACATTTTCTTTAAAATTAAGTTTTCTTTTTTTCCATTGAAATCTTCACTTGCGGTTTAAAGTCTTCAAGACTTGTATAACTGATTTAAAGATAATTAAATGTTTAAATGGTGAAGTTTTACGCTCGTGCATTTTTCAGCTATTGACGTTGTTTAAATATTTTTTTTAAACTTTTACTTTTGTTTGTGATATTGAAATCAGTTTTATCCACTTTCGCAAAGAGAGCATAGCATGAAGTCATTTGTGTTTG